AGAATATTGCTCCACTTTCTCCGGTCCCAGAGATTGGGCTTCCAGTAGCTCTGGAGAGAGCTTTCGCACCTGTGGCCACTAACGGTCATCATTTGTTTCAAGACCCGCATCAGAAAGCTTTTGAATGGTGCTACTTTCCCAGTTGGTCTACCTGCTCTTCACGTAGCTCTGCATGTCGTAGTTTAGGTGCTCTCTGGAGATAGGCACTGCTCAATCCACTCCTCCATAGGTCCAAGCTAAGTGAGGGACAATGTGCAGCGAGGCGGTCATTATGGGTAAAGAACAGGCTGATCTAACATAGTCCGTTGTTACTGTTTGGATTTGACTTGTCCGTTTTATATACATAATACATATATATAAATACACAATACGACAAGCTGCAGGTATTATTGATTTTATTTCTATATAACCTTCAACAGATTTGCTCTCACCTGAAAGCTGCCTCGGGTCCTTGAAGGAGCTTTATCAATTCAATCTGTTATTAATGTCTCCTCTCCTCTCTGATGTCTCCTCACCCTCTCTGATGTCTCCCCTCCTCTCCCTCTCTAATGTCTCCTCCCCCTCTACCTGTCCTTCTGATAACCTGACGGTGTTTCCTCTGTTTCAGAAACACCTGGAGAAAGAGCAGAGCCGTGCGGAGAAGAAGAAAGGGAAGAAGACCACGTCGTAGATTTTTTTTAAATGTTTTATTTCAGATTGTGTCCACAGATCTGTCCCACGCTCACATGTCCATATTAGGAGTTCTAATGAACAGCTGACACGTTCACAGCACCCTTTAAGTAAAGATATCCATGTTCAACATTTTGGGTTAGCTTAGCTTAGCGTAATGAGTGTAAACGTAGGGAAACTGTTAGCATGGTTTGTGGTGGAAGTAACTCATCCATCCGCTGAATGAGAGAGAAAGTAGTTCCAGTTGTTAGGCTTCACTTCCTGTACACTAACGTCATGTTTTTTTTTTTAAATAAACCAGTTGAACAAAAGCGTTCTTTTCTCATGTTTTACTACAAAGAAATGTACATGAATAAAAACAGAAGCCTTTCTCTCAGCTGATCCCAACAGACACGGTTCCAAACACTTTTAACGAACAATTACATTTAAGAAAAATATCAAAATAAAAATCAGACCGGGCTCCACGGATCTCTGCCCGTCTGCTCCTGGAAAACAAAAAGACAAAATATTCCTGTTAGTCGCCGCTCAGGGGAAAGGGGAGGAGCTTAACTCTGCCCTATTGGATTTAGTTAGTCGTGTTTATGGCCTGTTACGGCACCTGGTGTAACGGAGTATAACGGAGACGAGGTGAGAGCAGAGCATTGGGAGGCTTACTGAGACTGAGATATATATATAACACGAGAAGTCATTAGTTTTTTATATTCAGATTTCCTCATTTCTTATTTATTTATTCTTTGCGCTCCTTTGAGAGGGAACAAGGAGGAGAGGGTTATACCGGTGTACTCTGCTCTGGACTCGCTGCAGTTTGACTGAGTTCACTTTCCGCCTCGTGTCTTCAGATGGTCTTCTGTCCTCCAGCTTTCACTCAGACGATCAATAACCCTCAAATCTGAGTTTAAGGAAACTTTATTCCTACTTTGTGTCAGAAAGTACATTTACTCAAGTACTGGACCTAAGTACAATTTTGAGGTACTTTGACTTTACTTGAGTATTTCCATGTTATGCTACTTTGTACTTCTACTCCACTCCAGTTCAGAGGTCACGATCTGAATACTTCTCCCACCTCTCTTTATTACCACAAGTTTGACTCTTTGGTCAAAAAGGGAAAGAGCATCGAATGGTTTTACAGAATCGACCTCAGATGCTTTAAAACCTAGAAGTGATCATGAATTCCTTTCTCTAGTAAAACACGATCGACAAGTTATTGTTCCGTCTCTAACATCCAGTAAACCTTTACCCCGACAGAAAAGCCTTTGACGCTCAGATTAGACTCGAGGAGGACAGGAAGGTTAAGTTAAGTGTATGTGACCTGGTACTTCCTGTAGTGCTCCAGGCTGCTGCAGTGCTTCACTTTAGCCTCGTCTTCCTCAGCGTAGATCAGCTGACACAAGTTACACAAATATCCCACGACCGGCCGGACGAACTCCACTCCTGCCGGAGAAACACGCACATATAATAACAGCTTGTATGAAGTCCCAGGGAAAGTCTAACAGGTCATAATACAGAGTGTCTTCAAACCACGTCGTAGTAAAGTTTGTTTTAAAATAATTGTAAAAAGTCAAAGTTTATTTTGAGGTAAAAATATAAATAATAACAGAAGAGTAAGTTCTAACATTAAGAAGCTCTGGTTTATCTTACATATAAAAGTAATGGTGTTGAAACAAATGAAAAGAAGTCCTAGTTATTATGTCGTACTAACTAAGTGATGAACCAGAACTCTGAGCGTCAGACGGAAAGCTCACAGAGCTCCGACGTCACGTCCTTCTTTACGTCAGGAGACAGCTTGTATACGGAGAATATAATAAGATGAAAAACTAATAACTAAAATACTGCTTATTGTAATAATAGATCAATATGTGAGAGGCCTTCTGCGGACCCTCAGACCTCAGGTGCTGCCACTCCTGGAACTGAGCCGGGCACGTTATTATTATTTGATATTCCCTTAATCGTCCCACAGAGGACATTTTACGCCAGGAGACGTCTTGTTTACGGGGTCATGTTGTTGTTGATATATCTTATAAACAAGATCAGAGTATATATACACAGTATTTCCTCACCAACAGGTCCTGAGGGTTTCTGCTCCTCAGCGCCCCCTGCTGGTTCACTCTGCAGCTCCTCAGAAGCTTCCTACGGACACGTCACAGAGCATTACATCAATCACACATTCAGAAGAAACATTCTCATGCTCACAAGTTGCTTTCTTGTCCTCACGAGAAGAGGGTGCAGTGGAGCCCCTTAGATAGTGATGGTTGTGATGTTGGGATGTATGAATACTATTTGATTGATTGAACTAAGAGCTCGACACACCTGGCTGAAATGACTTTAGAATGAAGTCAGAGTTTAAAATATCTTCATGTCTGTCCGGTCCGTTCCACAAAACAAAACCTTTTGTCTTTTCCTACACTAGAGATTAAAGAGGTGGAGTGGGAAAGAGCATTCCATACCCTGAGATAGAAAAGTCAGGTTTGCTATCTATAGTAATATAGTAACTAATCTTACAAACTGAAGCCTTGAGTTTCCGTCACCAGGAAAAACACAAATGTTCACAATTCATTTCTTTCTAACATTATTTTGACTGAAGTCTGGAAGAAGGTTTGAGATCCACACGATTAACTTTCAGACTTTAATATCCAACTCTGATCTAAAGATATAACCACGTTCCCAGCTCGACTGATAAAAGAAGTACTCAGATTACACTTCAGTAAGAGTACCAAAACATTATCATCAAAACACTTCATTACAGGTCAAAGTCCTGCTTAACAACAAGTACAAAAGCATTATCAGCTAAATGTCCTCATAGAATAACAAGTACTGTAGAAACATGTCCTTTATGTATTTATAAATTATATGTGACTTTTTGTAAAATATTTAAATAATTTGACTCTGTTGTGATTGGTCAAGCACTTAGAGATGCCCCGCCCTTAACCCAGTGTTTCCCCTAAATACAAATAGTGGCGGCGCAGCGCCGCTGCTGCTTGGGGGCGCCAGCCAGGTACTCATTTAAAATTAAAATAATAATAATTGTTTGATTGTTTGTGATGTGGATCTGTAGTATTTGTGTTACTGTTTGTTCAATAAAGGTGTATTTTTGCTAAATGTTGAGACATTGCCACTGTATGTACTGGCAGGGCCGAGTTTTGGCATAGGCTGGGGGGCGCTGCGCTGGCAGCTCTGGGAGGGAAAAACGTTTTTGACCGTTGGAGCTCATCCTAATTTTCGGCCTTGATGTAACAACATTCATAATGAAGTAAATGTAACACCCTTTTCACCCTGGTTACACTTTTCCTTTGCCCTGTACGGTGGGCGCTGTAAGTGATGAAAGTGGGGGATGTTGGCTCATCAGGCGCCTGCAGCTCACAGCCAAAGTGGGAGAGAGAGAGAGAGAGAGAGAGAGAGAGAGAGAGAGAGATAGAGGGAGCACCGGTACCGGCGCTGTTGTTATTAGAATCTGGTGCTAGCTGCGCTAACGGATATAAGAAGTAGATGTTTCTACA